CTCCCCCTCCTGCTCCTCCTTCTCCCTCTGCTCCTCCTGCTCCTCCCCCTGCTCCCCCTGTTCCTCCTCCTGCTCGCCCTGCTCCTTCCTAATCATAATCATTGGAGAGTATATAGGGGAGGAGGAGGCAGAGGGGTAGGAGAAAGTGAACAAACAAGGGGAAATGGGGGTGAGCTTTTCTTCCTCCTCCTCATCTGAGGACGCCTGCGCCGCCATCAAGCCCTGCAGATCCTCCATCTCTGGGACCTGAAAGCCACTTTCAAATGTGAGGCGTGCACGCTTTGGTAAGAAAGACATGATGACTCGGTAGCAGCAAGTAGGAGTGGGAGATAGGACCCACGTGCCTGGGGGAGAGAGAAAGAGAGGTAGCGGCCTCAGCAGAGAAATACAACCTTGGCATTTCTAACAAAAGCCAACTGAGAGGTCTCCTGGTTATGGAATTATCTGGACTCTCACAGAGCTCTTGTCTTCCTGCACACTTTGCCCCCAGGAAGGTGCAGGAGGTTGTGAGAAAGTGAGTGCAGCTGGCCAGTGGGCCCCAGGCTTCCAGAGCTGACTCTGGGTGGGGAGGGTCAGGAGCAATGGGGTTCCTTCTGTGCTGGTGTGGGTGGGTCCTGGCCGACGCTGAGGATGTACACCTCATCTTGACAGCTAGCCCTGCCAGGGCCTCTGCTGCTCTGCTAAGGACATGTGTCTTACACCAAGGTCCTGACATCAAGGTTCCTGGAGCCCCTGACAGGAACCTGCCAGGCTGTATGAGGTCCCCACTGCCCTAGAGTCGCTGCTCCCCTCTGTGCTCACTGAAGTTCTCTTCTTTCTCCTGATACGGTCTGAGCCCCCCCAACTCTGCTAACAGAAGGCTAAATTTTCAGAAAAGGAGGGCACATTCCTGAAAACAATGAGGAGAAAGCAAAAGGGCAACACAGGGCACCGCACTTTCCCAGAGCCGCCCAAGGGTGACAAGGGCAAGCTGAAGCCTGTGGAGATCCTCACTCCTCACTGAGTGCTACCTTCATTCTTCACACTGAGGCTCGACAGGGCCTCTGCTGGTGCCCTCAGAACAACTCTCAGCTCCCTGAGTCTACCAAGAAGTGTGGGTGCACCATATCTGGTCACTGTCCCCAGGGGCCTCCCAGAGCTGACAGCAGGGGGAGGGGAGGGCTGGCTCTTCTTCCAGTCCCAGTGTGGAGGTGTGCCCTCAGTCCTCACACAGAGCCCTAACTTTAAACCCTGGAACAATCTGGGACTTCTCTAGCTGTTGATTGTGGCTCCGTCTCAGACAGTCACCACCTGAGAACAAGACCCTCACCTCCTAACAATCTCTGGAGAAAAGTAAGGGCAAACCACATCTTGCCACCTCTGTCAGGCCCTTCATGTGCTGACATTAGCAACAGTTCTGTTGTAGGGCCAGCTCAGTCCTCCCTCCTGGTATTCATTTTTCCTCCTGGCAGGACCTAGGCCATCCTTACTGACGATATCATCCCCTCAGCCCACAACCTTATCCTGCAAGACACCTCCCTCACCTATGGAGAAAATGAAAGCATACCAGACCCAGCTAAGCCTGCCTCAGTCCACCCAGGGCTAAGAACAGGAGACAGTTGAACTCTGTGGGGGCAGCCTCTTTCTAGGGTAGAACATACCTATGGTCCTCTCCATGGGTCCTTACCATGAACCCTGAAAAAAAGTGGGGGATTTTTCCCTTTTCTGACCTTATGTCAGTTGACTTTATGGTTCTCTCAACTGACTTGCCTTCACACTCAGACTGAGGCCCTCGTGACAAAAGTGAAGAAACAGTACATCCAGCTACCTCTGTATGTATTCTCCCAAGACTGACAGTGGCTGGACCCATCTTCTCTGAGATGGAGTGGTTTCTTCTGCCTTCCCTGAGGTATTCTTTACTATGGCTTGGGTATACCTCTCTGGTGACCTGAAATCACCCTTCCAAACCAAGCCTCACCTCCCAGAGATACTTCCACCCACTCCACACAGGAAAAGGGTGTGCCACATTTGGACCTTCCTACCGGGCTGATCCCCAGGATAGATACAGTGACAGGATAGAGCTTCCATGGGTCCCTTCTGTCTGGTCTGGGAGTACCCAGAGTCCTCCTTCAAGAATTCCTAATCTTACCTTGACTCCTCACAGATCCTGGGACTTCTCTCTCTGCTGTGTCCCCAGCTCAAACCAAGCCTTCAACAACCTGGGACAGTTTCAGACAAAAATAAGACATCAAATCCAACACTTCTACCTGGGGTCTGTTCTGGTATGAAGAATACATTCATCAAGGTATTCATCTGTTTCTGAGGAGGCCTGTCCTCACCTCAGCTGACTTACCCATGGTCTCCTGGGGTTGGCAGAGGGGTAAGGAAAGGACAAGTCCCTTCTCTCTGGTATTGGGATATTTCCAGGGGAGACCAAGGTTGCATGTGCCTGAGAGAGGAGATCCTCTTATCATCCCTCAGAGTCCTCTTCTTGATGTGTCATGGGGGCTGGGGCTGTGCCCACTATTAACCTAAGGACATACCCCTCAGACGAAGACCATGTAGAAGTCAGGAAATACCACATTTGGCAACCCTGCAGTATGGCTTCCTGGAGCTAATAAGTCTTTGTGGTGAAGATCCTCAAAAGACTTAAGATGGATTTACCATATGACTCAGCAATCCCACTCCTAGGTATCTATCCAAAGAGCATAAGAATACTAACTTGAAAGGAAACCTACACCCCCATGTTTATAGCACTACTATTTACAGAAGCTAAGGTGGAAACACCCCAGGTACCCCAGAACAGATGAATGGATCAAGATGTGGTATAGCTACACCGTGGAATACTACTCAGCAATCAAAAATATAAACACATGCCATTTGTGGCAACATGGATGGAACTAGACGGGATTATCCTAAGTGAAGTGAGCCAGAAGAAGAAAGAGAAATATCAGATGTTATCACTTACATGTGAAATCTGTATAATAAAGGGTCAGACAAGACACTGTAAAACTGACCCCTGAAAGCAGAGCCTAGCTCTGAGACACTCAGGAGGGAAAATGGAGGGGGAAGAAGAGGAGGGGCAGTAAAGAACAGGGGAGAGGAGATCATAGTGGAGGGCAGTGGAAGGCTGTGGGCACTTTGGAGGTGCAGGAAATATGGTGAACACACCTGAAGGGGGAAATATTATATAGTGACAAAATAAACAAGGATGTTTAGAAACAAAAGAAGAAATTTGAAAAGATAAAAAGCAATTAAAGGGCTCTCCCTGGTGGCCCAGCAGGTTAGGAGGCAGCACTGCAAGCGAACCACAGCTGCTTCAGTGCAAGTTCGATCCCTGGTCCCAAAGATGACCCAAATGGCATGGCAGACCTCTCCTGGCCCACCTGCTGCTCCCCTCAGCAGTGTACTTTGTCGATCTGGCTGTTCTGCTCCCCACCCTGTTTCTGGTGAAGCCTCTCACTGCTCCTGCACCTCTGGCTTGTAGGCTTGTACCCCAGTTCTGTATGCACAAATAAATAAATCTTAAAAAGAAAAAAAAAAGCGGGGCCCTCCCTGGTGGCGCAGCGGGTTAAAGCACAGCACAAAGAGGCTTAAGCCACTTCTGCATGAGTTCGATCCCCGCCTGCCCCGGAGGAGACTACATGGCGCGGCAGACCTCTCCTGACCCGCCCTCTGCTCCCCTCAGCAATGGACTTCGTTGATCTGCCTGTTCTGCTCCCCACTCTGTCTCTGGTGAAGCCTCTCACCCTCCGCATCTCTGGCCTGTACCCCAGTTCTGTACGAATAAATAAATTAAAAAAAAAAGAAAAAAAGTGATTAAAAACCTGGTGACGTTTAGATGCAGACATCAGGTGCCTTAAATTTCTTTAGCTCATTGTTATTTTATTTATTTATCTACACTTCCCCGGCCTGGGCATTCCTGAGTTATCTTTCCACAACTTAGTTAATTGGCTGCTATGGGAAAACAAAAAGAGAGTCACAGATCTTGAGACCAGACCAGATCGACCCAGAGCTGTGGGCTCACAGCCTCCATCACATGTTCACCCTGGAGATAGCAGCCCCACACCGCTGCAGCTGAGACGTGCCCACAATCGGCAACAGTGTTGGACATCGGCCTTTAGACCCGCCATCTTGGCGAGTCTCTCCCATGCCCAGAGAGGTCTCCCCTGATTCTCTTTCAGGGCTCTTTCCAGAATCAATAAAGGCCGAGTCCTTGCCAGCCCTCACAGTGTCTGTGGAGTCCACTTTCAGTCTCCACCTGAGGTCTCAAGAACCCATTCCTGGTTTGGAAGAGCGCCCCCTGGAGTCCATCCCTCTGATTTGCAGCGGGTGGAGCTTTGTCAGCAGCAGGCTCACTCCCAGCTTATCTTCTGTGTTGGTGGAGAGTAGGAACAAGCTGAGGGACCCCAGGCAACCACCCTTGTCTGGTGACACCCCCCACTCCCAGCTGTGGAAGGTCTCCTCCCTCACATTTCTTTGAGCAATGCCTGGTATTTGTATCACTGCTGACCTGTAGGTGGCCCCTTCAAGTGAAGCCTCATCTCCCTCAGATTCCAAAATGAAAGTTACAAAATAACAGTTAAAATCACTGAGGTGACCGCACAGACTGAGGTCATACACAAGGCAGGGCTTGACTCCCAACCACT